GCGCCCTAAGTATACGCGATAGAACTAGACCTTACCGAGAGGTTTGCTGATCTTGAACATCCCCAAGTGGAACAGCTTTACCGCCTGTTGTATGACCAAAGTAGCTGGTATACGCTCGATTTTAGACTTCCCGCTCGACTTTTCTGTGCCAACGAGATCTTTCAGGCATGTCGTTATTTTGACTCTTATTTGGCGAGCTGATGCTGCCGACGAATTGTGTAATTGGTTCCGGAGGGCAGCTTTTAGTTCGAACTGGATGAGTAAAGTGTTGAGGTAGTAGTAGCTCTAGCCTAGTTATTGTGGAGAAATAACTACAGCGTACATAAGTTATAGTAATATTGACGAGATATGGAATGTAGCCTTAACTGACAGTTTTATGATGATTTCTTGTCCTTCTTACTCTCACCCCTTAATTGATAAAGTGCTCCAACTCAGTCTCTAGAGGACAATAATTATCTTTTCCACATCAGGATAGATAAGAACGGAGAGATCAGGTATGACTAACCAATTAAGTAAATATTCCAATATCAATGTTTCGATTTTTAAAGAATTGTAGTTGACCGTATGGAGTAATTCTTATTTAAACAATCGTTGCTGAGTCCGCCGTTACGTAGTATAAAATCGTCACTATTTCCCAATACACTGTGTGGAAAGAGTCTGCTTATGTAAAGCGGGTTTGCTTGCACATGTGGTGGGGCAGCCATGTGAATATGCATCCATGCATCTGCTCGAATCTCACGCTATGTCGCTTATAGAAATAATGTCAAGTAACACTTTCCCGTACATTCATTTAGGTTGAGGTTCAGGAGTTCGATCCAAACATCCTACCTAATTTATTACCACCGAATCCAAAGTGCAGCAACGGCTCGAGTGCCACGACGTGCCCTCGACCGGTACCATCTCGACGAGGCTACCAGCCCAGAGACCACGTCATCGTGTCCAATTTCCATCGACTGCCTACCGACCCTGAGCCTATACCTCGTCGAGGCTATGAAAGTACGCCGGACCGTGCTGTCTTGTCGCCCATCATGACGTTTCCGTACCGGGACATCAATGTCCACGTTGCTGCCGAGTCCTATACCTTCACATCTCCTTCATCACCCACCGCTCCAGCCCTAGTTATCGATCGACCAACCGGCGATGTCCGTCTGAGCGAAACTGCCTCCGTCAGCAGCAAACGTGTTGCCCGTGTCTCCAGTATAGCCGGCATCTTAGGCCTCATTCGACTTAGACTAGGTAGGGATTTATCTCCTGGAACAACTCGGATCCGGGAAGCAACTAACCGAGATAGACAAATATGTCATCGTCATCACGAAAGCTCAACCCGTGGGACGCCTAAAGGGGCACATGGTATACAAGGTTGTCTCGACAGACTTCCTCCCGATGCGAGAACGTCAGATCCACGACCCCGATGAAGACCAATTCCTATTTCTCCTCAAGACCTTCATCATGACCGGCCCTATGTATTTCTCCTATTCGATCGATCTCACCAACAGCTTCCAAAGGCAGGCTTCCATCGACAACTCTGCCCCCCTTTGGATGCGCGCCGATGATCGCTTCTTTTGGAACAGATTTGTTCAGTCCGATCTGATCAACTTTCGAAAGATTGGAAACCGATCCCAACAGGGCTCGCAGCCGGCGGTCGACCCCTTTATCCTACCATTGATATGGGGTACACTGGAAATACGACCCACCAAGTTCAAGGGCACACCCCTGACCATTGTTCTTATAACAAGAAAGTCACGATATCGTGCTGGAACCCGATATTTTACTAGAGGTCTCGACGAGGAAGGACACGCCGCCAATTACAATGAAACAGAGCAGGTTGTGGTCTTGAACGACACAGGTGGTGGCCTTGGCGGCTACGCAGGAAGCACCGATATGCAAAGTGGCAAGTTCGGAGCGTCCGATGGACGGGAAATGCAAATCATGTCCTATGTCCAAACCCGAGGAAGTATACCTGTCTACTGGTCCGAGATCAATGCTCTCAAGTACACCCCGAAACTTCAGGTTCGCGGACTCGAAACTGCCTTGTCTCCCGCCAAGAAACACTTCGACGAGCAGATTCGCATTTATGGTGACAATTACCTCGTCAATCTAGTCAACCAGAAAGGCCGCGAAAAGCGCATGAAGGAGGCGTACGAACAAATGGTGAAAATGCTTCTGACCTCAAAAACTGAATCGGTCAGTAAAGATCATCTCACCGAGGAGAAGTTCCATGTCGTCGAATCCAACACCAGCAAGCAAGAATTCGACCGCTTGCACTACGTTTACTTCGACTACCATCACGAAACTAAAGGGCTTCAGATGCATCGCGCGATGCGGCTAGTTGATAGGCTGCAAGATTCGTTGATAGCGCAACAGTATTTCCGAGGCGTTGACATGCCTGCAAATAGTGGACTGGAGACGAGGAATTTCCAGACGAGTGTCGTACGGACGAACTGCATGGACTCGCTCGACCGTACCAATGTGGTTCAAAGCATGCTTGCCAGATGGACTTTGGATCGCATCTTCGTAGACCTGGGTCTACTTCAAAAAGGCGAGACTTTTGCTACGGCTGACGCGGACTTTGAATTCCTCTTCCGTAACCTATGGGCAGATAATGCCGACACGGTATCCAGAGCATACGCCGGCACTGGAGCTATGAAGACGGATATTACACGCTTGGGCAAGCGCACCAAACAAGGAATTCTCCAGGACGGCAATATCGCCGTGACTCGATACTATCTCAACAACTTCCGAGACGGGCCCCGGCAAGACGCCTACGACCTATTCCTCGGCGCTTATGAGCCCACCACCGCTAATATCGGCTCGTCGCTCATATTTGCCGACCGTAGGCCGATTCTCATCCAGAGTGTCCCTTACATTCTTGCTTTCAGCGTATTCTTCGTTTTCCTAGGCTTGTTCAGCAAACGCCTGCCGGATTCCACCGTTCTGCCTATGCGCCTATTTATCCTCTTCTGGCTGGTAGTGGGCGGTTGGTGTCTGAACTTCATCCTCCAGAACGGCATGCTATTTGTAAGTAGGAATCCAATCACCGACAGTCGTCAAAGGATCGACTTGACTCAACCAATCATACTAACCCCTATTCTAGGTAAACTGGCCAAAGCTGAACCCACGACCGTGGGCTATAGAGGGCTACCAGGAGACCATCGGAAAGATTCGGAAAGACAAGGTGATCGGCTCTCTGGTTGCAAGACACGAGCGCGGACTGAGCACGGCGAGATATCTCAATGCGGAAGAGGGAAAGAAGAGGATCGAGTAACCTGGTATCTACTTGTTGAAGATCATAAAGCAGGGCGGATTTATATATTAGGCTCTTCCACTTCATATGCCCCTTTCGTTGGAATGAAACCCTATGCTCATTTCGTGCCTAGGGTGTTGTAGAGATAGATTTGTTAAATATTATAATCGCCTAGGAGGTCTTAATACGATTTTGTAATGCTATTTATTTATTTATTTACCAATTTCAATTGATTAGCAACTGTCAATGGTTACGGGCCAATTAAGACAAAGTGAAGTTGTCTTGTCCTGCTTAGTTTGTTCCTCCACATCCCTAGGTGTATTCCATCAACGGACAAAATTTGTCGATACAAATCTAACGGCAACCTATATACACTGCAGTAGAGCGAACTTGATCTTAATGAGAGTAAAATAAAAAAAGAACGAATCGACAACAAAACATAAAACATATGACTCTCGATCGGGGAATCGAACCCCGGCCACCTGCGAATTGTCTCATGACAAGCAGGTATCCTGACCACTAGACCAATCGAGAAATCTCAACATTCTGCTTCTGGTCGTCTGCGCATCCAAAACTAGTGATATTGCAATGTCTTTAGCTAGTTGACTCAAAGAATTGCTTAGGAGCGAGCACAATGCCAAATGCCGGACAAACAGCAAAGAATCAAGTACGGGGCCATCAAGAACCCGGAGATGTATGAAAGGGCCCGCACCAATTGTTGGGGGCAACGCAAGGCTGCCTAAACGGTGATGCAGACAATGGGTTCTGGCTTCTACAGCCAGGAATTAGGTTTCGGATCATAACAAAGATCTAGTTGCGCATACCCTAATAACCCAGTTGAAGGAGAGGTTCTTCCGGCTGTAAGCTGTAATTCAATTACGATTAAGTGGCTCTACGCTGGGAGAACTGGATGTTCGCCAGGATATGTAATAAGAGTGTCATTACACGATTATATATACGTAGCCGCTTAACATGAACCAGAAACCATATACTATACCAGTATAATCCAATAGAACAACAATGCAGGACCTTGACGTCTATCCCCATCCAGGAGGATGCTATTGGTTTCTCTCCAAACCCCAAATAGTATCGTACGACCAGACACAAGCTCATAACAAGTTGGAATGAAGGGGGTGAGACCTTCGACCACCATGTCTATGCTTAAACATTGGGGGAGATACTGCCGGATAGTCCAGCAAGCTTCGGTCCCAATAAGAGCTTCAATAGACATATTACAGTTAGGAAAACGTCATTGGACCCATGATGGTCACGCGAAGCGTCAATGAGATACTTGCATTCTCCTAAACTGTGTATGGCTTTCAAGTTTCCTTTGCACCTGACGACCAAGGCGGGTATCATCAAGACAAGGCAAGGATGCAAGACCATTAACAACGCGATGTAAATGGTACGATATATTGTAGGTAGGCCTAAAGCAGCTAGAGTTGGGGTGCAACAACGGAGCAGAACTTAACTCGCTGTCCTGTAGGGCGTCCTCGTTGTTATACTGAGTCCTTCGTATCAATTGTTCTACATTTATAGACTGCCCACCTATCGACAGGTGTATGCATTACCAGGCAGTGATTTCGATACTACTGCATCTAATCAGCAACACTGTAACCAAGCGTTAAAAGCTTGAGTAAGGAGGTCACCCTTGGTCCGTAAATGTAGTGCAGACGAAAAGTGGCATGGAAGCCGTCATGAGGGGTTTTCTTATAGCTCCGACCCACAATCCTTGCTGACAATCAAGTACTACGACGGCTAGGTGGCGGAGTGGTTAACGCGGTAGACTCGAATTATATGTATGGAATCAACTATACATATCATTATTGTAATCTACTTCCTTCGGGAGCGTCTGTTCGAATCAGGCCCTAGTCGAAAATGTGTTTTTTTTAATTCCTCTCCCTTCAATTTTAATTTTTAATTGCTAAAAATTCGAAACAGCCTGGCTCGTCCAGTCCTTTGCCCTAGGACACGACCACATATTACCTGTAGAAATCAGGCAGGTTACGTTACGCCTGTTGTGCTTTTTGTGCTGGAGTGGAAGTGGGGGTGGGGGCGGGGAACACCAAAGTTGAACGACTGTCCGTATGACATAATAACGTCCATCTCTTCCATCTACTATGTTTTCTTCATCTCATTTAAATTGTAGGGTGATTGTGAATCATCTATCATGACTTTTTGCTTCTCTACATACTCAGCATGTTACCGGCTTGCTCATTACTTAGTAGTACTACATAGATAGTGTATTGGATTGCACGCTATACTCACTCGGACAGTTTTATCATTGCTTGGTCCACGTTATAGTCCAAGCCTTCAGTTTAAGCTGGTGGCTATCCTCCAGCAAACTAGACTAACACATCTTCATCTCTGCCTAATTGTCTCCATGAACTTTTAGTATATAGTGCAGCACTCCGCTCTCAATAATATGTCTCACGACGGAGGGCCGGACATCAGTTCTCCACAAATCGACATGGGCGAATGGTCTAGGGGTATGATACTCCCTTCGCATCTTCAAGATACTTGGAATAGCACGTCTGGGAGGGGTCCGGGGTTCAATTCCCCGTTCGTCCATATGTTTTGCCCGATTTGACTCCAAGGTTGTCCTTTTTATAATTACTTTAACTGTGGAGAAGTAGGATCTTGATCCTCCGTCAGCGCGGTTGTAACGCCGCTCCCCATGACCTGCTTACATAACTACCACATGCCACTTTAGAATGCTTGCTACATCTCCAAATAAGTACTTTAAGTGAAAAGTCAAGTTCTATAAATTTAATACTAGAAATGAAATACTTTATCCAGTTCCCTTAATCTCATAATGAGGTCCAATGCTTTAAACAAAGAATTGATGCAACGAAATCACTCTACAATCTAGGCGAATTGTTGAACCTATGCATCTATCAGAGCAAATCAGCCTTCGCAATGATGACCCCGTTTCTTAGAAGAGGTGTAGCCAAGACAGAAAAAGTGGGTGGTATGTTCAAAATGTTACTATGCCAAGACGCATAGTTGGTGACTCGACAAGGATATCATTTGCATATTCTCAGTCATTCGCTGATCGATGTCATGGTTTCCAGTCCCTCCAAGAAAATAGTCTTTCACCGAATTCCTAGCCATCTATTGCGCCTCAACACCTGTGCGCGTGACAATCACTGCAGGATAGAGTGGAGACCTGAAACTCTCCCAGCAACACGTATAGGGCGGCAGGTGATAACCAACAATGGTACGCCTTGCGCAAACGCTAATGTGATTGGAATCCGATTTGATCTCACTGATTAGAATAGCTCAGGCTGAATTTACAGCCCCTGCCTCACCGAAAATCTCCGTGCTGTCCAGGAGCGCGGCTAAAAATGCAGTGAAGCCAGAATCGTATATTAATGCTTCTTTCTTCCCCGTGAGACTTAATATCATGACAAGATCGTTGGGCATGTGGTTAGGTAGACGTACGTTGTTGCGCGATAGTCTCTAAAACACCGTTGTAGAACTACTCTGATTACATATATGATAAGCATTTTTGTGCCTATGTCTCGTAGCACCCAGGGTAGCCAATACAGGTGACTTGAACAAAACGGTCTGAGATAGATACTGCTTCCAAAGTAGACCTCTGTCAATTGTAGTAACACTAGTGATTTGCGTGCAACATTACTTTGTTTTTATTTTCATTATCAGTCTTGAAGCGGTATTGTCTATGTCCCAAGTGAATCTCAGCCTTAAAAATTCATGGTTCGTATTAAAGAGCATCCTGCATTATAAAAATAGCCTGGATAGAAGATTATAAACTATAATCAGAGCCTCGGATTAAGCACACTTCAAGCTCGAGGGTCACATATTGACAAGACTACATAGAGTATGTTAAGCCGTTATTAGCATTTAAAGGCGTAAGTTTATCGCGACCATAAGCGGATCTTTTCGTCCTGCGGTTGCCAGCTTAATGTCTGATGGGGAGTGTCTAAGTCTCTTATAAGTTGACGGAGGTATTTGACAACATCTTCAAATTAATAGCAATTGTTTTGAAGAGATACAGTTAACAGTGTTCGAAATATCGAGATTCCACGTTTTTTATATCTCAATGTTGGGGCTAAGTGGATTCTTCATCACTAGAAGTACAGCTCTTTATTAGCACATATAAATTGCATTGAAGCCATTACCTAGAGAAGCACCAAGTACCATGACAATCCCTCAAACTGGGCGACAGCTCCGTCTTCTCATCTAGATAGACGGATATATCCTCCTTTAGTGTATAAAGTCTCTTCAAACGAAGTGCTACTGAACAAGTAACGACGACTGAGCAATCGACTAATAATTGGCTCTGAATGTAAAGGTAGTCGCCGATGGAAGCATATTTAATCTACAGCCATGTCTAGAAAGAATGGCACCCCGCTGAACGTTAGACGCATATCGGCTTTAGGACGAGCGCTGTGGACTTGGGATGATGCAGAGAAGCCTCCCTTGCATCGCCCCCCTAGCCCGTCATAGACAGCCCCATACCTTAACGAGTCGACGAATAACGAGGAGCTGCCAAAGCCATCTTACACTTTGATTCCAAGCAGATGGTTAGACAATATGTACGCAGGAAGCTAGCGACAGTGGCTACAGTGGATATGTATTAGAAAGACCAGCTATTTAAAGACCCAAGCCCATCTAGATAGATGGTTGCAGCAAGGACCCCTACACTTCTATTCTGTGGCGTCCTACCTATGACCCAGCCTCACCATAGAGACATATACCCCTGATAGAATGATCTCGGGCCTTTCACGACACAAGAAAAGGCTACTAGTCTTTGGCCAACTAAATACCGGTCTTTCTAAAATCTGACATAAGTGAAAGCAACAAAAGCCGTCGCAATACTTCGAGTTTATTGACAGTGACAATGAAACCGATATGTTGTGGGAAATAGGCATAGAGAAATGCCTTGGTAACTCCAGTAAGAAATGCAGGAACATTAATGCCCTTCACCTTATATACTTCCCTTTTTGTTCAGTATTGTCGACATTGATACTGTGGACGACCTCCGAGCTCAGCGTTCTTCACTAGAGCTTTCTTGCGCAAGCCACTGCTAAGTGTTGAGGTGTATTTGGCGTATCAATCCTGTAGCTGGAAATTAACGCTACCTATGCTTATAATCCCAAACTTCCTGGGCCTGCGTAACTTAGTTGTGTTGCTTAGTGGCATAGCAAAGCAGATCATGACGTGATGCCCAGTAGCGTCCGATTTCAGCATCCAATGAATTAGTATCCCCCATTAGCTTACACATACTTCGTATCATCTTGTTCGTGCATTTCTTTTCAGACTACAGCTAAGTTGTCTCTTCGGGTGTTGACCCCTTACACCGAATGCTGGGTCATTCATTGGACTGAAAACCTCAAGTTACACACACTCACTAGGTTACTTACACGCACGTTGCTGTAGTATACTTAGGTAGTGGCAAACAGGCTGTAGGCATTCCATATTTACCAGCCTGCAAGCACAGTCACAATTACGGCGCATGCTAGTCTATTAAATTGGAAAAGCAGTTTGCCCATCGCCCATTACCTACACAGTAAACCTACCTAGTGAATGGTGGGTGTTCAACTGCCTTACCACAGCTCATTACCGCACACAATACATGGACACGGCAAACGCAGCACAGGCCTCTTCTTCTACCCACCTGGGTACATGTATTTATTGTCTCACAAAGTTTGACCTGTCAAATCGGCCCAGCCGTATTACCCCTACCTGCCCGTATTTCTACCCCCCACATACTCGGTAAATGGAGATGCCATCTGACCACTCATTCGCAGCCATTAATGCAGCCACCAATGCGATGCTCTATCTCTGGTCTGAGACACCTTCACGCAAGCCGCTCGGACCATTTCCACTGAAAACTTTGACGCATTCCGATTTATCGTCTTGCGGTTTGCTATTCAAGGACCTTCCCTGCATTAGAAATGAGACGAAGCACCTCGTCAATATCATTTATTAGGTAATGCACATGCACCCTATTAACATCACCCGCAGCAAACTTGATTGATTGATCTCAACTCCCTAGACTCAGATCCCATATCCTGCGGCTATATAAACCAACCTGTGCTCCTCTGCCGCCTTGCTTCGCATTCTCACAAGTCAACCATATAGACCCTTAAACTCTGCACGTTCATGGCATTACAAAGTACAGCTACTCGGCGTTCTGTTCCAACAACACAGGTAAGCTCTTGATATCTGAACCAGAAGCATCTTGAACCAAGCCTATTACCTCTGCATCTTCCATCTTGTCACCATCTGAGCAGCAGCCTTCGCCACTTTAACCCTCTAAGCCAAGATTACCAACGATCCTCTCTCTCTTCTCAAGAACTAATATTTGTTTCCTACTCTAACCGCATCTACAAACAGGCCCTTGGTTCCAGTTATACTCAGCAGCTATTTTTCGAGCCCCGAAAACCTCGTTTACTTCGACTAGCCAACGATCAAAGCCCAGCAAGTCTGGAACCTGTACAGCCTCTTCCGCACTGACGACAATCACCTCCCCCACAGCAAGAATGTGTCGCCGAATCTACCTCCGCTTCCAAGACTGCCCCTGCGAACTGCAGTACCGGCTAGAGGAATGCAGTTACGGCAGATCCGACCCACGGTGCCGTGAAGTCAAGGTGTCCCTGAGGTAGAGCAACAGGGACTGCTGTCACTGGCACAAGTGGTGGAATGCGATGAGGAGCAAGCTGCACGAAGGCGCATCATGCGGCGCCAAGAACCATGGCCGGCGGCGACCCAAAGGCTACGTCTCGCCGTACCATGAGAGCCCAGTGGACCTCGACAAGTACGATGACGAGACAAACCAGCCGAAGACGGACGCCGCGCGCCAGGCCGACGGCAATAATCAGCACGAGATCGGTAAGCCGAAGAAGCACCGCAAGAATGGGAAAGTCCACTACCGCCCGCTCGCTACGGGATGCGCGGCGAATTTCGAGATCTTCGGTAGTTCGGGAATGGCGGCGCTCTTGGTCTGACGGTGCCACGGCCCTACTCCCAAAGAGCATCAACGCACGAATCCGGATTCCTCTTCATCACACAGCATGCTACACAATCACTCCTGTCGCGGGAGTTGATGTTCTAGCGTTATGCCGGTACTGGGTACTCAACAGTCACACCACGTCCTCGTTTCAACGGCGCTATTATCTGGGACTTGGGTTTATAAGACCAAAAAATAAGAAAATAACGGGCATCATGGTGGGGGGATAAGTATATGAGATTGGACATATCTATCAGTGGAGCGATGTCTTGCTTTTGATCTAGAGTATGGCTCATGGAGACGGATCAGAGGTTATATTGAGTGGAGGGGGTGCCCAGGGCGTCACAGATAAATTTATAGCATATAAATGGGATTGGATCAATTGATCTCTTTGCAGTCTAAACTGAAAAATCGGATGAATGGTATGTGATGGAAACGATGCGAAGCGTGGAAAGTGAGGCGGATAAATATGCGTACATGTACCTACCTACTCTGTAGTTCTGTGGGATTTGTCCACTTGCCATGTTGGGATTAATTGAAATTTGAAGCAATTCTCTACTACAGTACTACTGCACACTAGTAAATCTTTGGGTGGCACACCCCGCTTATAAGACTTGCAGGGATTTAAATTGAAAATTCCTGTTTGGTCTGAATCTCAATCCTCCTATTTTGGGAGTCCAGCGCGGCTCACACAATACTCGGGTTGCTGATACTGTCATATCAAGACTTAGCGGTGCCCACCTAAAACGGGTGCATATTCCGCGTTAGAAGAGGGTGGCGAGGCCAAAACTGCTTCTTATCTTAACAGGAAGCTGAGTCCGCCGTGCACCATACAATCCCTGCCCCTTGTCGAGTGAGACGAGACACACTGCAACAGTACCGGGTACCTGTATGCTGTCGTCCGAATCATGCCGATTGTTTTCGACCCCACTCACAGAACACATGTGAGTCTGGTCTGGCACCATGAACTGCAGCAGCCGATGAGAGATGCATATGCATGGCAAAGTTCCGGCATTTAGGTCCTAAGTTGGGGTTAGATCGGTCTAATTTCTCGCATAAGCAGCAAAGGACATTTCCAGGTACTCCTTTCTTGGTAGAAAAGGCAACCAATAGGCCGGCCGTCATGCGCTACTGACTGATTAACTGATTGACTGACAGACAGAGAGACTGACCAACTGACGGATTGAAAATGACCCGTCTTGCCTGCCTTCAGAGGGTAACACTAACAGACGCTGCCGAGCCGGGGAATGTTGTAAGTGGTGATACAGTGCTGTAAGAAGTACTCACCATTTGAAAATGACACTTTGTCAGACACAGTTCCCCTGAGACTAAATATCCATGCGCTATAAGACAGTACCTAGCTAGCACTACCTACCTATACCGTAACCTACCGTGCATACTGTACTTGGGGCTATCTACACAGGTACCTACAAGATAGATATTGTACTCAAGTCAGAGCTCAAGTATGACCGAACGACCGAGTGACCGACGCGGGCCGCGCTGTTTCTCGGCCAATTGATGTCTGCCTACGTCAATTGACCGTACAGACAACCAAGACTGGTATTTTAGTAAAACGGATTTGCCGATTGATAGCTATCCGGGACGAAGGACCTATCTCAGTGTCTGTCGCATTGCTCTCAAATCTTTCGACTGTCGTGTGCACAGTAATGTATCGAGCATTGCTTTTCTAATGTCATGGTGCAGGGAGCTTCTGGAACAAGCTTGTATTTTATCCCTGGCGGATGGCTCGCTTGGTCTGAAACTTCCCCTGTTAGTTCGCCCTATAATCCATTAAACCCCGGCTAACCAGTGCACTGGGCATTCCTCTCGACCCCGCTGCAGCGCCGCTATGGCGTTCCACCACCCGCCTATCACGCCGACTTGGGACAGGCCAGATGGGCTGTGACATGCACTAGTCCCGTTCGGGGGTTAATGAGTCAGGTGATTTCGCGGCAGTATCCCGTTCCCTCAGACGCGTGGGCTAACGTCCATCGTCGCTCGAGCGTGTTTGCCTGAAGATACGGGCTACTTTTTATTACTACCTACTTACCACCTACTTACTACAGGCACACACGCAGCAGCGTCGCCTCCCCGACATGGGTCGCCCACTATATAATGGGCGATGCCCCCGAAAATTTCTCTTCTTCTATTTATTCAAACTGAAGGGGCTTTCAACAGGTAGGCAAATCATCTCGTTTCAACGTCGTCGTCGTCATTTGGTCTTTTCATTTACATCACTTGCATCACATTTCATCGCATGACCATCTACATTGCATCGGTCGAGTGCAATATTTTGACTCGATTCCTCCACATCCCGAGTCGATAGCAATTTGCGACCGAGACATTTCTCTACATCTTCGAACTCTCCGTCTCCATCGGTAGGAGATTGAAGGATCGCACACATACCCCCAACTCTACACACATCCATCATTTCAATATGCTCAGCAAACGCTTCGATCCACCTCCAAGCAAGAGCTTCTCTAAGGGCCACAAATCGAGCAAGTCGAATACGTCTTTCAGCAAAAGCTATGGCATCACAAAGACTCGACATGATTCCCGTCGTCGCTTGACGACGTCCATGTCCCAACAAGTGGACGCATCCATGTCGCCCGATAGGTACGGATAACTCATTCTCATCTCGTCATGTCATTATTTCATTTCTAACATGTCGCCTGTATACAGTAACTTAACGTCGTCTATCGTGACCCTCATCATCGGTCGGGACCAGCGAATATTCGCAGCGCACGAAGACGTGCTCTGTGCCTCGCCCTGGTTCCAACAGGCGTTGTCGGATCAATACATGGACCCGCAGAATGGCAAGCGCATCCACCTGCCAGACGATGAACCGGAGATCTTCTCGTCGATCCTCGAGTACCTCTACAAGGGCGACTATTACCCGCGCTTAATCCACAACAAGCGTCGTAACTCGTGGGAGATTGAGCAGCTCGACGAGGAGCGTGGATCTAGCGAGTCCACCATCTATCATCACGCCATCGATGGCGATATCCTCAAGGATACCGTCATCTACTGCACCGCGGAGAAGTATGGCATGGAAGAGCTCAAGCGTGTGGCGCTACGGAAGCAGGGTCTTCGTAAGTTGATATCTGCACATTCCTATCGCTGTCTCGGACGTATGCTGACGATGACGATGACAGAGTCTGGCATCCAATGCAGCACCATATTGGCGTCGGCCCGCTACGCCTACGCCAACACACCCGACACCGACTCCAAACTTCGGGCACACTATCTCGCTCTCATCATTCGCAGCCGCAGTACCTTTAAACGTAGTGGTACCATGCAGCTGGAGATGTATAACGGCGGGACACAGCTGTTCTTCGACCTCTTCGTCGCTCTATGTAATCATGTGGATGATATCTCCTCCAGTGCTTCGTAAGTGTTCCCTAGTGACATGTGTCTGTCTATTCTTTCTTACTAACATCAACATTATAGCAACACACCACGGAGTAATCGCCACTTATTCTAGACACCTATTACCTATTTTAATTTCTTTTGTTGTAATGCCTCCCCTATGTCAACATCCACCTTTGGTTCCCATATCATCATCCGCGGACCCTATCATCGTCGCCTTCTACGTCGTTGGCGACGAGTTTAATGATCAACGTTATGCTTTTACCTTGCCCTTCTTCCCCATTTTGCCGCTTCGGGGAAGCCTGAGGGACTTGGTTTCATCTTTTCTGGGCTTGGGCACACGAATGCGAACTCACATCCCGGCGTTCTGGTGTTTATCTCCGTGAGAGATTGATTCTGTTCTTCGATTGCTTTCCGTTCAGTTCATGACACCTTGTATCACTATCATACACCCATGCCTTTTCAAACAGATAAGAGACGGGGGCAATAATATCTCGCCGTCATAGGTCTGCATGTTTTTGTTTTATTTATGGGCGACGGTGTTTTCTGCCCAAGAGATACCTATGAAACACCAAAAAGAGAAAGAAAGGTCGGCCCGAGGGGGCTGTGCGAAAAGACGGGGGTAAGCCAGACTGCAAAACTGGAGGATCTCTTCGCATTTTTTTACGTTTCGTTAGCGCCCCTACCTATTTCCTTATCATGAGATGATAAGATCATGTACCATTACGCTTCTAGACTATCGTTCACATAAGGGTTCGCATCCTTCCTCCCCAAAAGCAGGGGGGCGGGAAAAGAAGAGACGGCACAGGACGGGACTGCTCTTCTCTCACCCTTGGGGCTATGAGAGAAGGGGAAGAGGAAATGGCGGGCTTGGAGAGATGAAATTGATGCATCATGATAATAGATTACTGTTCTTGTATATACTATTTTTGTAACCCTTTGATGCCTTGAAATAATTCGCGTTCAGGTTGTGCGGAAGTCTGCTTCCTTAGACTTGTCGTCGATCCGGAGTGAGCTGAATGAAATATGGCATTGCGTCGGTCGGGTACCTGTTCCATGCTAACACTTTGCTCTGCTTACTTTTCAACCCGGTGAGTATAATGACGGTTGGCGTCAGCACTAGATTGGATTCACAAACCGTATAAACGTATAGATTTGGTAATCCGCCCATATACCCTTACCTATTATTCTGTCCACTGGGTACCTAATCAAAAAGGGCTGCATTTTCTCATAAGCGTTCTGCAACACGCATATATTGCTCTCATAATCACGTTGTAATGCGCTAAACAAGTTTTCACAACAACGCTGATGCCACCCTTACCACTGACGGCAAACCACGCCTTGCAGTCATGAATGTCTCAGTTGAGAGGTTTGTAGTCTGGAACTGGATTCCTCTCCTAGCATTCTAGAATCTGTACTTGTTTAAGTGGCTACACCAATATGGAATACCTGATCTCAGGCTCAATGGTCTAGTGGTATGATTCTCGCTTTGGGTTCTTGTCAACTATTATGCGAGAGGCCCCGGGTTCGAATCCCGGTTGAGCCCGACTTTTTCTTTTGCATTCTGATGGTGTTCACTGCTAGGTTTTCGACTTTTTGGTTGAAGTGACTAACACTTGAGAGCGCTACAATACTTGTGCTACAAATTGCAACAAGTGGCGGATGGTTGTGTGCTTTGTGGTGTGCTACCCCACTTACCGGAATTGGACACAGATGAAGCTGGTACTTATTCCCTACCTACTCGTGTTAGGTACTACCTACTACTGTAATGCATTGAATTCATTCCAACGTTCCAATGTCATACAGCCTTGTGCTAATCTTTGATTAACGAAACCCCGAGCCGCATGATTTCCAGTTTCAAGGATGACTATATGCTGCATCGGCCTGTTTTGGTATTACCTAGTCATAGACACCACCCATCGATCATCTAGATTTCGGAAGCGCGGGTGCTTATTCGCATCGCCGCTGCCCTGCTTTCCCTCGATGAGTAGGTAGGTAGCATTTCATACACGGCCCCGGAATGAAGCTCGGACGAATTCCCTTTTGTGATTCGCCAATTCCAAACCTAGGTAGATACTGCGAGTCACTTTGTGTAACGAGGTACGGACACCAATTACTGGGGCTTAAGTGCTTGCATTAGGCTCCCGGGACGGCGAAATAGTGGCAGCCTCGCGATTAATAAGTGCGTCACTGGATGAGGCGAGGCGGGGTGGCGGGTAGATGGTTTGGTCAGGGAAGACCCCATGGGCGATGACTCTACTGTAGGATACGTGAGTCATCGATCACTGCGAGTACTACGCTGCCAGTCTATTCGTACTAACTAAAGAAGGTAGGGCTTTTGCTGTCGGTGGTCTCTTACCAGTGATGGTAGGCTAGGTAGAACTAAGTATCATGTCTCATTACATTGTGCACGAGCGTTAGTGACAGAGGAGCTTAGGTAGTGTGTCGCCTTACGACGCATGGACAATCCTGCCCGCTTCATTTGTGGATGCGTATTTTGCTATAGCGGCGATATGGCTACATGTAAGCCTGCGTGATAGCCACCTACCTGCCCTGTTATTTCCTTTCTCTTTGCCACCCTATTTTCGTATGACGACCCCGGCTCAGGTCTCCTGCAAGGCTGCCCAATGGCGATAGCTATAATCTCGACATGCCTACCAATGACAGTGATGGATGTGCATCCTCGCCCTTCTTGTCGTTTCCACGCATCTTGCAGTGTTATCATGTGCACCCGTGCATCCTTCATTTAAAGGTCTCGTAATATGTATTGACTCATACCCCTGTTCCCGGAAAGGCGCCAGATTTGCTCAAGACGACAAAGCCGCGTTCGTGTGCGATGTATCCTTTCATGAGATTCTAGATTGTGGCGTTAGTAAGTGCGCCCTGTAGAATATTGGCGGAAAGCTTATGGCCAAAGATAATTTACGGATGGTGTACGGATGGTGTATAGGTTGGTGACTGGGTAAAAGGGCGGCATTAAGCCGACTTGCTCTTCAAAGTGGAGAGTGGGATGCGGCTGGGCTGTTAGAAGTAGCGGAATCGGAATAGGTGGCAATGTCCATGCATGATCCATGGTCACGACGTACCTTGTATATCATGTTGGCCATTAGACATTCAACCTCATCTGTGTCAATGGCCTCTCCACTACTCATCTGCACGGCTGCTGTGAACTCGGTGACGGGAATCCTCGTTCTTCGCACAGGCGCTGCTCCTTCCTTGGCTTCTTCAAACCCTCCCGCGATGAATACCTTGCGCAATAAATTACGCAATACGATGTCACGCCCACGCTCTAATGTCAAATAGACGCGACGCTTTATGAATTCGTCTTCGCCTTCGCGCAAGGCGATATCAAATGCCCGTAGGTCAGCTTTCTTGATGGCACGGGCCAATGGGGTGAATAGTTTTTGTAGGCGGGGAAATGGCCCCAGAAGCTGTGCGCTGGGGAGTGTATGGGTTGTCAATAGGCGGCAAGGGACAAGATATGTTAGGATAAGCCTGTAAAAAGTTAGTATGAATGACATTAAAGAGAGGCATGAAGATGCATACTCGAGATTTCGTTGGGAAGTCTTGTGACACATCAGCCATGCCATCTCGAGATGTTTTTCGGCCTATCGTTCTGTTAGTGACTGTTGATATTGAACTGGGTAATCTTGGGGCCACAGACCTCGACGTAGTTTTCTTCCAGAAAGGCCAAAACACCTTCATAGTACTTGAAGGTGACCTGTTGTGACTTAGGGAATTTATCGATTGGGGGAATATCAGCCCGGCCGGCCGATATCACCCTCAAGATGTTCTTCGAGAGGGGTTCTGAATGTAGCTTAAAGTAAGTCTTGAATAGAAGGTTAACAGCGTAATAGACACCCCATTTACGAGACTCTTCCAAAGGGGCCCTAGTTCGTATTAGTGGAGGGTAAAGAGGGTATCGAATTACAAGGAGAAATTACCTATCCGAGGCGCACGTCTGGAAAATCCTGTTCAGATGCCGTGCGCAATCTTCAAGACTTTTGTGCTCCTCTGCTTGAGGATCGAAGTCGTCTTGAAGATCGTCAATAGCCATGTCCTCATTACTAAGAGCCCTCTCGGCATCAGCGCGCATAGCAAATAATCTCAAGTATTTCCCGGTGACATAAAGACACGGGATGGTCCAGTTTTCGAAGTCATGGTTCGTATAACCCCGGATAGTGAGTAATGTGACTTCTTTCCAGGCATCGTATACTCTGGCCCATGAAGACTTGGCCCAGTCAGCAGGAGTCTCTAGGTTTAACATATAATATAGATAATGAAGCCCTAGCAACAACGGGCGATGCTAAGAATATTCATATCGCTTGTAAATGGGCTTACCTTGGCATCACTTCGCAAGCCCTCGACAGCGAGTATCTCCCCTAAGGCTTTCCAATAGGCATTATAAATGGCATACCAACCGTGTGTTTCTTCCTTTGATAGCCTGATACTGAATCGAGCTTGATCTTGATGAAAAAGGAAGTTGAGATCGGATGTCGTCGATCGGGGATCGCCACGACCCCAGACTGCCAGTAGTTTTGCTGAATGTCCTTCGGTATCCGGGGTTATGGTCTCGGCCAACTGTTCACCGTTTGTAGCAGCATATGCTACCCGGAATTGGCGAATCAGGCCATCCATGGCCGAATCTGTGTAGAACTGTCGGTAGCAATACGCTTGTCAGTTTTCGGTCTCCAGTTGACAGATGCTTATGGAATGTGAGATGTACGGAAGATGGTATTAATTTATTGTTGTCATCTTTGTCGATTTTAAGAAGTCAAGTCGGTCGTAGGTGATAACACCCTTATAGGTAATGACTGCTAATGGTGAAGCCTGAAGGGACGCTTTCTTTGAAGTCTACCACTCTGATTGGCCTAGTGTCTAGTGCGTGTACTGACGTGCACAGGCCAACCTGTCTGTTCTAGTGCCCCGCTATCTACCTTAGTGGTACCTAGGTACATCTCAACCCCACCATGCCTACCCTGCCTAGCTCAGCCACCTGCTCCAGCCACGGTCGGCACACAACTACCTTCAATGACCCAGTTTTTGGGCACGGCCACACAGCTCTAAACTGCTAGGGCGGGAAACCCTTAGCACAGAATTTCGCAAAAAGTTCTCGTAGCCGAAGAGTTGCCCCAAAGCAGCCTCCACTACACGAAACCGTGAGCCTTTGCCCTTCATACTAACCTCCACGACAACAGGACCGGATTCAAGTCACAGTAAGTTGTATTAGTATTGGCAGAGTGCATTCCCTCAGTTACTGACCGGTCTCAATTTCAGATGGGTAAGCGATTTTCTTTCATTCGATCATGCAATTGCCGGCGCTTTGGAATTCGACATGGACGATTGTCCCGACGACACTCAACTACGGAGAACCCTTGCGCGATTCCAGCAGCACGATATAGCGATACGACGTTGCACCCTGTGTCTAGATAAATGGATGACACCATGCAAGAATGGCGAGAGGATTAAATAAAGGGAATGCAACAGGGAATGATCTTGGCCCGGGGGACTTTCGCCGTTTTGTCAATCGAATCGAGGGCCTGACTACAATTCTCTTACCCTCACGCTGAAGCACGCCGCAAGATTATCTCCGACGACCATCTCCACTCGAGCCACTCCTCATCGATCACTTCGACTACCTGGGACTATTTGCCACGCTACAGTACCACAACAATCACTAACTAGATGCTGTCAGGTCGCCTTCAAGAATACCAGGTCATCGGGCGCCATCTGCCCACCGAGGCCAACCCCACCCCGAAGCTGTACCGCATGCGCATCTTCGCCCCCAATGAGGTTGTCGCCAAGTCCCGCTTCTGGTACTTCTTGATGAAGCTGAAGAAGGTCAAGAAGGCCAACGGTGAGATTGTCAGCTTGAACAAGGTATGTCCGGGCTCCCGCTGGCATCTAGGGATATATACGAAAGGACTGGAGGCTGATGCGCTTGGATAGATCAACGAGAAGAACCCTCTCCGTGTCAAGAACTTCGGTATCTGGATCCGATACGACTCCCGTTCCGGCACGCACAACATGTACAAGGAGTACCGTGAGCTGTCGAGAACAGATGCTGTCGAGGCCCTCTACTCGGACATGGCCGCCCGCCACCGTGCCCGCTTCAGGTCCATCCACGTACGAAGTCCCGAAACGACAGTCGAAGAAATACCATGAACTAACATAAACCTAGATCCTCCGCGTTGTCGAGGTCGAGAAGACCGACGACATCAAGCGCCCTTACATCAAGCAGCTCGTCACCAAGGGTCTCTCTTTCCCTCTTCCCCACCGTGTTCCCCGTATCAGCAACAAGAAGGTCTTCAGCGCCACCCGTCCGTCCACTTTCGCATAAATTGGGGGTTTCTCGTGTTATGTGTGCGGTGGGAGGTTTATGGGAAATGGTCTTTGCCCGGTGTTCACTACGGAATTGCGGAAAATATTGCATGACGATCAATTCAGCATGAGAGCTCTTAAAGAGGATAGAGCCCAAATCAATGAATGAAACCCGAAAAAAACCTACACTACGAATTGTCCCGAGGTATCTGCGTGAATGATGGA